CTCTCTATTTGGGACTTGCCAAGCGAGCGCCACACTGCCGTATTGGCCCTGTGGCTTTCTGCGATCTGAAGATTATTCATGTAACTCATACATTACACAAAGGCTCTAAGATCTTTCAGTTTTGATGAATTGGTACAACCACAGTTACAGGGTTTCGAGTTTTCCTGGCCACAACGATACTTGCCGAATCCGTTTTTCGAAATTCAACTTTCCATCTTTAGTGGGAATTGAACTTGTACTCAACTGCTTGGGGGTACGACAACTTCATCACTTCACTAAGTCGCCACATCCTTAAAAGAATATAATTTTAAAAAAACATAATTCTGAAAGAACATAATTCTGAAAGATCACAATTTTGAAAGATTACAATTCTTAAAGAATCCTGAAAGAATCACAATCTTAAAGGATTACAATTTGTGACTTTTTAGGATTATGATTCTTTCAGAATTGTAATCTTTTTAGAATTGTAATTCTTCAAAATTATAATCCTTCAGGTTATGTTCTTTTAGGATTTTTTTTTTAAAATTTAAATTTTCAGAATATTATACTTTCAGAATTTTGTTCTTTAAGGATTTAATATATCAGGATTTAGTATTTTCAGGATTTTGATCTTCAGGATATTAACATAATACCTTTTTTTGGGCATACCCAAATATTTTTCTATACTTCCAATTTTATTTAGCAAACCTAATTAATAGATATCTATATAAACTGGTAAATATTTGAAAACTTTTTTTTGAAAATAATTAATAATTTAACTTCATATGATTTATAAAAAGGCGTTGTTTTGGTGGATTTGAGAAATGCATATGGTGTTTTTATAGTAAAATTAATATAAATAAGAATTAAATTAGAGCTTAGAATTTAGAATTAGAGTTAATTGAAGTAAAAACTTTATAAAGAATATTTTTATTAGACACACAACAGAAGTTACTCTAGTAAAATTTGGAGATATCAAAGAAAGTATACTAAGTATAAAGTGCACCAAAAAATAATACTTTAATTTTTAATTAAAATTTTTTTTTAAATTAATATATAGTATTTTTATTCTATAAATAACTTAAACTTTTTATATGAATTAAATACTATATATTATAATTTTTTTTTTTAAAATATTATTAAAATTTTTTAAATATTTCAAAATTTAAAAAAAATAAATTGTAAGTAAATAATATATAATTCTTCAAACAAATTTGTTTAAAAAAGCCTACAAATTAAGGAATAGCACAGAAAAATTCATACTGCAAATGCAAGATGCAGTAGTATAAGATAAAAGTAAATATCCGGCTATCAGTTAGGCTTTACGATATTTAAAGATTATGTTTTTATTTAAAAAACATAAAATTTGTAAATTGTATTATAAAAATAACATTTTCAAATATTTTTTACTGTCAAAGATTATTTTCAATAATCTCCCGATCACTATATCAAGATCACGGGAGGATTAATTAATAATACCCTGACCGTATGTGAATAAGCGGAAACGAAGTTTCCGCTAATTCCCAACGGATCAGGATATTATTATTACAAATCCCCGTTTCCATCCTATTGCGAGTCATTAATGTTAACACTAAAAGATGCTGGTGAAATTAAACAGCTACTAGTGAAATTGGTGTTGAATTGGTAAAATTAATTTCACCAGCATCTTCAGTTGACACTCGATGTTAGAACATAAACCCGATTTCCTTATACAAGTTTTCTAAATCTACCTTTTTTGCTATCTACTTTACATTGTATATCAATAAAATGATATGGCTAGTATCAATGAGTTGCGACTGTATTCAATGTATATATATAATTGAATTAAAAATCAAAACAACTATTAAAAGCAATACCAACAACACTAATAGCAACGAATTTCTATCATATCAAAATTACATATAAACTCGTATAAAAATAGCTTATGAAAATCGAAGATAACATTGTATGTAAATTAACATCATAACAACAGACAACTATTACTATGATCGGAAAACGATTAGAATTATTGATTTTTTGCCCAATATTCTTTACGTACTTCAAATAGACTTGGTGCATACTCAGGAGAGCGTACAATTGAAAAATTTTTAAAAGCATTGCCGTTAGGACGCGACTCTTTCGGTACTCTACCATCAAAGTTAAGTAATTCGTGTTCAAGACGAGTTGGATTAGATATATCATTAATTGTTTTACTCTGGTTTCCTTTTTGAATTCTTATTGTAAGATTGCCATTTGATTTATCAACAGCGATAACCTTTAATACAGTCAGTAATAATAATTAGTATTGAATCGTGTAATGCTGCAATGAACATTTATTGAAATGAGTAAATAACAAATTTTCATACTTTTAAATCCATAGTAACTGAGATACCAATATTTTTAAATTGCCGCTTATATTTTAACGTATCGTCGGTTCTAATTATCAAGGCTTTGGCCATATCGGGTAGCGTTATTTGAGCGGAATCACTGATTTCAAGATAATTATTAATTAATTCATTATCATAGCGATGAACAAACTGTCAAAATAATTACCCTGCCAATTGCTTATTTCCCATTTTTCCCCATATTCCAATGCCCCAATCTTGCTCATAAGCGTCATTCTTGAAAGAAAAACAATGATTTATAATATT